CTATATGCATATTTGAAAGTTGCAAAGAGTATATTTTAAAAGTTCTCATCATGAGACAAAAAAAAAATTGTAACAATGTGCAATGGTGAATCCTCACTAAACTTACTGTTGCAATCATTGCAGTATAAATCTATACATCAAATCATTATGTTGCATACTTAAAACCAGTACCAGTATATGTAATAAAAATAAATAAATAAAGACCTGATAGACATTTGCCCATTTTCTTGGTGTATTTACAGAACTAACCTGAAAAAAATATATATTTATACTATTTTTCTGTATTTTTAAATTTCATTAATTTCAGCTTGTCCATGTTTCCTCTACTTTAGAGAGATTGGTCATTATTTGCTATGCTTCCTTTTATCTTTGCCATGTGGTGGAATATACCTTTTATTATATTTTGAGTTTCTTAACTCATATAATAAATACTTATCAAGCATGTGCATATGTGAATCCATACTCAGTTCCCGCCATGAACTGCAGCCTGCCAGGCTCCACTGTCCATGGAATTTTTCAGGCAAAAATACAAGAGTGGGTTGCCATTTCCTACTCCAGTGAATCTTCCTGGCCCAGCCATCATATCTTCGTCTCCTGAGCCTCTTTTTTGGTAGGCAGATCTATACCACACCACTTTGAAAACCTTCATGTGTGTACGTTCATGTCCATGCTAAGTCACTTCAGTCGTATCAGACTCCTTGCAACCCAATGGACTGTAACCCACCAGGTCCTCTGTCCATGGTATTCTCTAGACAAGAATCCTGGAGTGTGTTGTTATGCCCTCCTCCAGAGTATCTTTTCCACCCAGGGATCAAACCTGTATTTCTTGCATCTCCTGCACTGGGAGGTGGGTTCTTTACCACTAGGACCGCCTGGGAAGCCTGCATGTACGTATGACACTCCCTAAATTAGACATCAAGGAAATGGTGAAAATGAGAGAGGCATGTTGGCATTTTGAGGAGGAACTAAAGAATCTCTTGAGGAGGGTGAAGGAGGAGAATGAAAAATCTGGTTTAAAACAAAATATAAACAAACAAACAAACAAACAAAGATCATGGCATCCAACCCCATTACTTCATCGCAAATAGAAGGAGAAAATATGGAAGCATTTCCTCTTCTTTGGCTCTAAAATCACTGTGGATGGTGACTGCAGTCATGAAATCAGAAGATGATTACTTTTTTTCAGGAAAGCTATGACCAACCTAGACAGTGTGTTGAAAACCAGAGACATCACTCTGCAACAAAGGTTCATATAGTCAAGGCTATGATCTTCCCAGTGGTCATGTACAGTTATGACAGCTGGACCATAAAGAAGATGGAGCACCAAAGAATCGATGCCTATAAACTGTGGTGCTGGAGAAGACTCCTGAAATTTCCTTGGACAGCAAGATCAAACCAGTCAATCTTAAAGGAAATAAACCCTGAATATTCATTGGAAGGACTGATGCTGAAGCTGAAACTCCAGTATTTTGGTCATCTGATATGAGCATCCGACTCACAGGAAAGGACCCTGATGCTTGGAAAGATTGAGAGCAGAAGGAGAAGTGGGCATCAGAGAATGAGATGGCTAGATGGCATCACTGATGCAATGAACATGAACTTGGGAAAACCCCAGGAGATGGTGAGGGACAGGGAGGCCTGGCATGCTGCAGTCCATGGGATCACAGAGAGCTGGACATGACTGGGCAACTGAACAAGAAGAACATCATACATCCCAGGAAAAGAAAAACAAACTTACTTATAAACAGTTTGAATGAACAGTTTCGGATGCTATTGGAGGTAATACTAGGAGAACATGGCTGTGCTTTAAAGACCAGACAATACTCCCACTGGAAATGATGCTCATGAGCTGCTCAGGTAAAACTCAAGTGGAGGGGGCTATAAATGACTTTTCAAGTAGAGGAAATACATAACTTCATAAGAAGTTCATTTAAAACATATATTTTCTTTTTTTTATAATGATACTACAAAAGTCATTTATTTTGCTCTCAAAAATACCTTATATGAGGTGGCATACATTTTTTTTTTAACTTATGTAAACCCTTTATTTTTTCAAATAAATTTATTTTAATTGGAAGCTAATTACATTCAGTTTACACAGGTCCTTTTTGCCCTCCACGACTTTAATTAAAAGCAGTTAATTATAGCGAAATATGCATGTGGGTGTCTGTTAAAGAAGTGAGGTTCTTGTTGGCAAAACAGACTGACAAAGCATCAGATGCTACAGGGAATTAGAAACTCTTTTCCAGCAGCAGCAGTCTGGGCTTCACGACACTGTCATCTTGGATGGAACACCCAGGGTCTGCAGACTCCATTCCGAATGAGATTTCGCAGCACCTTGCAGATAAGCCTTCTGGAAAATACCTGCCAACCCCCAACTTTCAATTGAGCACAGCATGAAAATCCAAGAGAGATACTGGATGTTCCTTCCCTGTGCCCCAAGCTGCTCTCCATGAAGGACCTGGTGTCGTGAATTAGCTCTGTCCTGCATCTGAGAAGCCTCTCTCTCAGGGTCTGACTGCCTCCAAGCCTGCATAGGAGCTGAGAAGCCCTGCCCACATGGGGTCAGCTTCTCATTTCTCATGATCCTGTCCTTCTCTCAAGATTTGGTCCTCTACAGCACAGGTGATGTGCCTGTGACAGGGAGCTTGGGAGAAGCTCTGGGGTGGTTCTCCCCATCTCTCCTGGCAGAAAGGAAAGCAAATACAAACACTGGGAAGTAAAAGGACTGCATTGCTGGTGACTTCTGGGTTTGATGAAAGAAGTGCTCAGAAGTTAAACAGTTGCTTCAAGCAGAATTAGGGCATTATAGAAAGTGTCCAGCACCCCGGCTTGGCAGGGGAGACAGCTTCTGAAGCCCTGCTTCAGAGATGAGAAGTCAGAAATAAGTCATAAATTTTACATTTAAAGGGACAGCTTTGTTTTGATTCTGCAGGACGTTTTGGGTTAAGAGGGAGGTAATTTTTTTTTTTAAGTTTTAAAATGTTTGAATTCACTTTGGCTCAGAGTTAAGACGTGGCATCAAAGCCAAGGCACACCTGCCTAAGTTATTGCAGAAATACCCACTATTTCCCACAGGAGACCTCACAGGATATCTACTAAAAGGGGTAAACTTCGTCTCAAGACATGGGAGGCTTCTTCAGCACTTTAGCACCAGCACCTGCCTGCTACGAAATGTTATTTAAGTGCTGGGAATCCTAGTTCCCAATTCAGATTGTAATTCTCTCACCCAAATATTATTCTCAGATTACGTCTTTTGGGGGGTGATGTCACCTATGTGTTCCCCTCATTTTCCATCTTACCCAGAAAAGGGCCTGGCTTTAACCAAATGATCTTTTTCAATATTCTGATGTTTGAAGGATTTTTGGTCTTATTAAATCCATTTTCTCTCTCTCCCCCTTGCAGATTTGAGTTTTATAATGAGATTTATCCTCAGACACTGCCCCTCCCTCACCCCATCCCACCCTCTTAAGTGGTTGCTTAGCGGCCCATGGCAATTTTGGAGACACCCCAATAGGCAACCTTCCCACCCCAACCCCACATCCCTCTCCAAGGTGTCCCATGTGTGTTCCTCCAGACCACGGGTCAGTCAGCTCCATCATACAGTCCTTCAGAAAAGACCAAGCTTCAAATCTTGGGTTCACTGCTAAGTAGGAACAGGGCTTGGTTAGGTCCATTAATCTCGCCAAAATGAAATTTCTTGATTTGTACAGAATATGACTTAATTCGCCTAAAAGATTAATATTGAGGGTTCATTAGTAATAATCCTTAGCTGTGTGTGTGTTGAGAGTAGGGAGCTAAAAGTACAGGCTATAACATGAAAACTACAGATGCTAACATGGAACTTTTTAAAGGCATAATCTAAAAGGCAGGAGTCAGGGGGGCAGCTGGAGGCAGGTTGGTAAAAGTATGGGCTCTGGGTTCATTCAGTCTGGGTCCAAACCCTAAAACCAAGCCTCTCCTCCCAGGAAGCCTTTATGATCCAGGGAAAGTTAATTACCTGCTTTATTCCTGTATTCCCTCCATGGTGCAGATGTATTATGTGCCTGCTTCACAAGGCTGTTGTGAGGATTAAAGAGAGAAAATATATGTAAAGGGTTTAGTACAATGCCTCTCTTAGTGCCCACAAAAGACAGCTATTATTTTTTATAAAATGTGGAAAATGTAAGAGAGGAAATTACTCTAAATATCAACATTTGTTATTTCTATGTGACGTGATTATGACCCCTTTGTTGGTTTTTGCAGTTTTTTCTACTTGTCAAAGCTTTGATATGAACTTGTGAATTCCTTTCTGAAAATAAAACTATGCACTTCACACATTTATGAGTCATGAGTACTGATGTCCCCATCCTATTAGATGAAATAGTTATATCTGTATACTTTATAATTCCCATTCCCAGCCCATAATATTCTGTTAAGAAGATAAAGTACACTTTCCATGAATGACTGTATCACAAGAATCTTTAATGTTTAAAGTTTATTCACGGTGAGGTTGTATCTGTGTTTAGTAAAGTGTGCCCACATTAAGTCTGTCTCAGTCCACATCACCAAACTCCACAGGGATGTTTCCTGTGCCCAGGCAGAGCACAAAGACAGGGGTCGGCTTTTCTCTTGGTTAGGCCAGCTGTTCTGGGGAGTTTTTCCAAACTCTCCAAGACCAATCTACCCCAATACACAGCCTCCGTCACATAAAAGAATATGGAAAATGTCTCAGTGTATTTCATAAGTTTAGCACGTCTCTGGTACAAAAAATTCAAGAAAGGTAGCACAAAAGCGAAAGCACCAACTGAGCTTACAAACAATCATGCATGAATCCTACACACTAATATTACTGAAATGAACACAACATTGCATTAAGAGGTATAAAAGCACTATACGGAAAACTTAAAAGTTACACGTGAAATACTGCACTGTAGATCCTGAATATTCTAAAGTCCCACACCCTCACCCCTCCTCCACCCTGGCGAGGGGCAGAGAACATCATCTGCCTCCAGACCTTGCTAGTCCTCGGAGACACTGTTGCGGGGGCAGTAGGCAGTGGGGTGGGCCTCCCGCAGGGCCCTAGCCTCTTCCAGCGCTTCCCTGTAGCGGGAAGGCCAGGCCTGGGGGTTTTTCTTAAAGACCCTGGCCAGGAACTCCATGATCTGCATCTTGGTGATTTCGCGGCTGGCACGGGAGCCCCAGAAGAACTCGTACTCAGGGGGCTCGACATGGGGGACGCGCTGGTACTTCAGGTAGTTCTGCTGGACGAACTCCTCGGTAATAAGCTTTCTCACGTCTCCGAAGGTGGAGTGCTTCTTCCAAGGCCTCAGCCCCAAGATGCGCAGCACGTTCCAGACTGCACTCTCTCGAGCGCCGCGACCCTTCACGTAAATGAGGCTCAGGATCATCAGCAGGAGGCCTGTCATCGGCATGCGGTTGCTCAGAGCGACCCTGTCCAACTCCTCTGGCTCCAGAGCTTTGACCAGCGAAAACTCCATGGTGTGCAGGCTGGTCAGCCTCAGGTGCAGCCCAAACACGCGCGCGAGGATGAGGCTGGTGCGCCGAAGGATGCTTCTGCACCACTTCTTGTAACTGCCGATGACATCTTTCACCATGTCTGGGAACCAGATGATCATCCTCTTCTGGTCTTTGACCAGCACGTACCACATGAGCTCGTGTGCCTTCTGCACCAGCTGGGCCGGGGCCGGGGGCGCCGGGCTGAGCTGAGTTGTGCTCAGGGCCTGGTGGGGACGGCCTTCCTCAGCGGCCTGCTGCAGGGCCTTCGGGTCTCCCTCTTCGCCTGGAGCCTGGGGAGGCAGCGAGACCAGAGGGGCATCAGGCGGGCTTAAGGGAGGACTCTCCAGCTCAGTGAGGGTCGCGGCCTGAGACCCTGGAGGAGAGGGCCCGCCGGGAATGCCGGGGCTGCTGGGCACCTCGGAGTTGGAGGCCTCGGCTGCAAAGTTGGGGTCGCACACATCCTTACTTTGTTCGGACATGTCTGTTCGGTCTCGCAAGAGCAGGGCCGCCGCGTCCAAGAGCTCTTCGAGTCTGCTTTCCCTCCGCGGACTCCTGGAGAGGAAGTGCGCATTGCTGCGCGCGGCGCCTTCCGCAGAGGCCAGGCAGGGCGGGGCGGCGGCGGGCCGGGCCAATGCGCCTGCGCGTCCGCGCGCCTGGGGCCCGGCAGTCGCTTTGGCGGGTGGGGCTCCTGGTGGGCTGCGGAAGGGGGCTAGGAGGCCCCCAGTAAGGATAGAGGGTCCGCTAGAATATGGGGGCTCCTGGTGGGCTGCGGAAGGGGGCTAGGAGGCCCCCAGTAAGGATAGAGGGTCCGCTAGAATATTGGCCTCAGTGATCACTCCTCCTCCCCAGGCGTCCTGTTAGAGCTAAGGAGGAATTCTTGAGGAGGAAGGGAGGGAGATGGGTGAGCACTGGACAAGGAGTAAGTTTAAGGGACAGGCGGCAATTTAAGCTGACTTTCTTAGGAAGCATTTGATTAAGTATATCTAAAATCAAGGTAGAGATGGGCAAGACCTAGGCTGGCGTGTCGACTAGGTTTCAGATCAGTGTGAGAATTTAAACTGAGAGAACAGTCAGGATTGCCCAAGAAAATAAGTCAACTCTGAAAAAGAGAAGCCGCTTAGTCGTGTCTGACTCTTTTTTGCTCCCGTGGGCTGTAGCCTACCAAGCTCCTACGTCCATGGGCTTTTCCAGGCAAGAATACTGGAGTAGGTTGCCATTTCCTTCTCCAGGGGATCTTCCCGATCCAGGGATCGGACCCAGGTCTTCCGCGTTGCAGACAGACTCTACCGTCTGAGCCACCAGGAGGACTAATTGGGCAAATTGGAATTCTGAGGGATAACAACAAAAATTCATTGATTTCCTACCACATGCAAGAGTTATAAACAAGAAATGCAGAATGTAGTCAATCTGAGTGCGATTGAAATTTTCTTGAAGGTAGTATACTAATGACTTTGTTTTGGTTTTTCAATTCCATTGGGTAATCTTGCTGTAAGTTTTGTTTCATTAGAATCCCCGCACACAGAGATATTAGCATAGACTCATATGATGTCTTTCCACCTGTTTTTCCAGGACCTTCCTTCCCTTTATGACTGTTTCAACCTCCACTTTTTTTTCCTGTGGAAACTTTGCCTTCTTACAGCACAACACCCCCATCTTCCACAGAAACTGAATAGTATCTCATGCAAATACCTCCCAAGATCCTGTTTTTTTTTTCTTTTTCTTTTTAAAATTAACATAGATCCCCTAAACTTTCCCAGATAACAAGTGATTTGAGATGTAACAACTTGTGGTTATATTTCAATTTTCAAATTTAGAAACCAAATCTGCAGTTTTGTTTGGGACCATCAACAAAACAAAGTTGACAGTGTCAGAGATGCTTCCTTAAAAAAAACTGGGCACAGAAACCTCTGGATCCAATGTTCCTGCAACTAATCAACATGCCTTGTACAAGCCAATGTGGTCTTTCAGCCATCCCTGGGTTTCCTCAAGCTGGCAGCTTCTTACATATGTCCTCAGTGAGTCTGGCTGTTGTCACTTGAAACCTAACTCATATATACAATATTGTTTTGACATTTCTAGAATCCTCTCTTTATTAGCTTGTACCCCTTTCTCATTTCTCACTTTACTCAAGTAGATTGACTTCAAAGGGTTTTTCCCTTTGCTGTTTTTTTTTTGTTTGTTTGTTTGTTTTTTTCTTTTGTCTCCTGAGTTTATTTCAAATTAAATTTCTATTCTGCCTAAACTTCTAAACAGGTATATGTAGACCCCAAATAGTTGCAAACACTGAAGTATATTGACAACTAGCTGTCATGTGCAGACCCAATTTAAACAAAAAGTGGTAGATTTTCAGTCTGCAATTCTATTTTGAAAGGAAGCCAACCCCATTGTGCTTCGTACTCACAAATAAGTCCTAGCTTATTTGTAGCATAAATTTATCATCTTAACAAATAAAATCAATCTTCCTACCTTACTTGACGGTTCCCCAAACAGAATAGAGGCCCTCCGGCAAGATTACTGAACATTTTCTAAATAGCCAAGACTTCAGATTCTTGCATTAATTGCTACAAATGTCAGGTAGAGAGATTCTGATTTGCATTTTTCTTAGACCTACTATAACTATGAAAAGGCTCTTGATGAGGCTCAGAAATTTGGATGAAAAATAGAGTAGAATATATCCAATGACTCCAATGGCTTTTTTTATCTTTGGATTTTCATGCTTGTATCACTTTTAGGAGGACCAATTTGACTGCAGTCCAATAGAACCCCCTAATCTCTTAGTTCACAAGGATAATTCCTACAGATAATTTAGATGAATCTCATCTGGAATTTTTCTTGTTCCTCATTTTCTTCTCTTTAATTTATAGATTTCTATTTTTTAAATATTCCTTTCAGAGTGGTATCAGCTATATTAGTGTTTTCAATTATTATTTTGTAAGAATGGTTTAAATTGATTGATTGTCCCCATTATTCTTAAAATAATTATCATTTCTTACCGTTTATTTTCACTACTTTTCTTCTTTTTTATTTTATTTGGATACTTATTTGTTTCTGTTTTGTTTAGTGACTGCATTCATTTAAGTTATTTTTAATAATGAAAACGTTTGAGCCTGTTATTTAAATCTCAGCTCAGCTTTGGCCATGGACCATATTTTTTGCTATTGTGGGATTAATAAAATTACATCCTCATATTTCACCCTCCTAGATTTAATGGATTAATGAAATTAAATTGCAAGCTTGAGCACAACAGTTAGCACTTACATAGAAAAAGTAGGAAAGCAATTATATAAACAAGTATAAAAGCACAACAATTTTAAAATTATAAAAGCTTCTTTTGCTGTGTCATAACAGATCTTTGACCAGAGAATAGCTTGTGTTTCAAATGCTGCCTGAGCCAGACTGGTCTTCATTTGGGTGATGTTTCCCGTGATGAGTGGAAGACACACCTGCCACAGCTCACTCCACATCACTCTTCTATTGGGAGGGTTGTTTAATACTATCCCAGAGTCTAGAACCACTATGAGGGGTTATACTCAGAAGGTTTAAAGCTTTGGAACTGATGCCAAATTTAAAACCAACTACATGGTAAACCCCTCTTGCTGCTTACCCTTGGAGCCCAACTGTACACCTGGTAACAGGGTATTTTCTTCCAAGAATAGTTTCTGTGGTAAAGATTCCATTTTCCAACAACAAGAAAATCCATGGAGATGGAGTGGGAAAAAGTAAAGCTTGAAATATCCTTTAAGGAGAGAGATTGCACCTGTAGTTATGCCATGGCAGTGGTCAGTAGCTTGACAGCTTGAGAGTAGCAACATGATAAGATGCCTCCTCATAACTCAGAGATGCAGACCTTCAGAACAACAAGATAAAAAGACAGGTGACAACTGTGAATAGAAAAGGAAGTCAGTACTCATGAGGCATTAACATCTTCTTTAATTCACGAGTCAAGATTTGGGTCTGGAGTTCCAGTGATGCCTTGCCAATAAAGACTAAATTGAGATCACTGAGTATCTCCAGGGCTGGCCCTATTTGATGTGGGCAATAAGTTCTCTTCAGTCCAGCAGCTTAGAAGCAAAAAGCCTGAAGACTGCAAAATATCTCCCCCCATAAGACTCATGAAGGGCCACTCTTTGAATCAGGATTATGTAAATAGAAGTTCCATGGATGCAAGAAGTATGTGGGAATGTTATAACCTAAAATATTCTGATGTGGACAGTTCTGCTGGTGGGTAACTTCAAATTCTGTAATGTGGAACAGATTACACTGCTGTGGAATAGGCTGTTCTTGGAAGACTCAGAAACAGGAGGAGAGGCCTGTCCTAGCACTGGTTTCCATAGTGAACAGAGGAAGGGGGGTCACCCAGAGCCTCCAGTGGACATATGCTAACAACACAGGGGCCCAGAGTCCCCAGATGAAATGTGAATCCTTCAGGCTCTTTTCTGTCCACATAGGCAGTAACCTCCACCTTGGAGGCCTAGAAGGGGCCCCAAATGCCTTGCAGGGCAAGGAATTGAAACAGAGAACTTGTGTTAATATGTTCAGTAAATATTGAGCAACATCTATCATGTACCTGAAAGATTTGCATTTTAGAAAAGTAGCTCAGTCCGTGGGAGTAAACTAATTACACTGGAACTGTAGGCTGCCCCTCCCCTCCCCCCCATTTTTTTAGTAAAGAATAAGTGAGGACAGGCAGTGCTTCTATACACAGTTGGGAGGATGGGGGAGCAAACAAAATCCTGGCCCTTTACCCCTCAAGTCTCCCTACTGGGACCCTGCACATGCCTGTCCAGCTGAGGCTCAAAGGCAGTCCTATAACCAGAGACCTTCCAGTCCTATCCAGACCCACATTGTAGCCTGCCAGCACTCAAGGATTAACAAGGTCAGGGGTGTCACTTAGAAAAGTCAACTGGAATAACAGTTATGTCTGGAGTTGGAACAGGTAGAGAGGGAGATGCAGAGAGACCAATTAGGAGACTTTGCATGAGAATCCATTTTAAAAATAGATAATGGCTTGCATTTCATGCTCAAACTAGTGCACAATTGCACTCACCTCACATGCTAGCAAATTAATGCTCAAAATTCTCCAAGCCAGGCTTCTGCAATATGTCAACTGTGAACCTCCAGATATTCAAGCTGGTTTTAGAAAAGGCAGAGGAACCAGAGGTAAAATTGCCAATATCCGCTGGCTCATAAAAAAAAACAGGGGAGTTCCAGAAAAACATCCATTTCTGCTCTATTGACTATGCCAAAGCCTTTGGCTGTGTGGATCACAATAAACTGTGGAAAATTCAGAAAGAGATGGGAATAACAGACCACCTGACCTGCCTCTTGAGAAATCTGTATGCAGGTAAGGAAGCAACAGTTACAACTGGACATGGAACCACAGACTGGTTCCAAATAGGAAAAGGACTTCAACAAGACTGTATATTGTCAACGTGCTTATTTAACTGATATGCAGAGTACATCATGAGAAACACTGGGC